CATTGTATATAATGAGATGAGCATCCACAGATTTTGGTATCCATGGGAGTCCTCAAACCAAACCCCAGCAGATACTAAGGGTCCATTGTATAAGAAACTGTAGGAGAAAAACTGTTAAAGATTATAATAATATAAAAAATATAAAATAAAGTAAAATAAAGTATTTGTGTGTTAAAGTGCTTGCAAAGATCTCAGAAACTACACACCTATTAAATATCCTTGCTTTTTAAGAGTATGAAGCTGTTTTTGTTCATCTTCACTAAGTTCTTCCTCTGTTTTTTCTGCATCTGCCTTTAGCCTTGCTTCCCTCTTAAATATTCTATAAGGTGTAGGATTAATAATTGGAAATTTCAGCAGGTTCAAGGTAGTTCCTAGAAAAGAAAATCCCACACATGGTTATGACTACATAGAACTGAGAAGTAAGGTTCTAAAGTACAGTAGTGACATAAACAACATTATCTGCAATGCAAAACTATAATGTGCAGAACTTTAAGCCAGACAGCTGTGGTCAGAAGCTTTAAACACATTGGTGCACACTTAGAATATCAGAAAAAGGATGGCAAAATTCTGTTTCAGTCATTATTATGCTTTAATCCCACATTCTCCAGAACTGATATAATCTAATAGCTGAAAAGCATATCATATGTCAAGAGATTCCCAGTTCAAAACTCATCTTAATTATGACCTTATGAGTTAGCCTCAGACGTGACACTGAGTTTAAAACCCAGTATCCCATCCTGAGAGAAAAGTGGGATATAAATGCTATACATAAATAAGTATTGAATTCTTTCTACACTCTTTCATCTACTTTAGACAGAACAGTTTTAACCATTATTCTGTACTAGTGACACACTCCTCTTACAATTCCATTCTTATGCTCACCATAAACTAGAAACAACTTAAGACACACTACACACAATCTGCAACTAAGCTGAGAGAAATAGGGAGGGGGGAAGATATTTTTAATTTTATTTATTCATTTGAATTTATACCCCACATGAGCCTCAGAGAGGGTGACTTACCCAAAGTCACTGAGTGGGTTTCCATGGCCAAGTGGGAATTTGAAGCCTGGTCTCCAGAGGCATAGTCAAACCACTATACCAGGGGTAGGCAACCTAAGACCCGGGGGGCTGGATGC